GATGACGCTATGCTACAGCAAACATGCCAAGAAATCAAGTACAATCGTGATGTGCTTCGTGCAACTAATGGTGCCCATATAGAGGTGTATTAAATTAGTTAAAAAAAAAAACTTCAATATCATTTTGTAAAAATTTCCACATATTTGTTAATTTGCTTTTGTAATTATTTTTTTAAATTGTAAAGAGACATTATGGACACCCTGTATATATGATCGTTATATATCTGTCTGTCTGTCTGTCTTACTGATCTTATATATGACCATTATATATCTGTTTGCCTTACATATGATCGTTATATATCTCTTTGTCTTACTGATCTTATATATGATCGCTATATATCTCTCTGTCTTACTGGTCTTATATATCTGTCTGTCTTACTTATCCTATATATGATCGTTATATATCTGTCTGTTTGTTTTACTGATCTTATATATGATCGTTATATATCTGTCTGTTTGTCTTACTGATCTTATATATGATCGCTATATATATCTCTGTCTTACTGGTCTTATATATGATCATTATATATCTGTCTGTTTCTCTTACTGTTCTTATATATGATCATTATGTATCTGTCTGTTTGTCTTACTGATCCTATATATGATCGTTATATATCTCTCTGTCTTACTGATCTTATATATGATCATTATATATCTGTCTGTTTGTCTTACTGATCTTATATATGATCTCTATATATCTCTCTGTCTTACTGGTCTTATATATGATCGTTATATATCTGTCTGTCACTGATCCTATATATGATCGTTATATATCTGTCTGTTTTACTGATCTTATATATAATCATTATATATCTGTCTGTTTGTCTTACTGATCTTATATATGATCGCTATATATCACTCTGTCTTACTGATCCTATATATGATCGTTATATATCTGTCTGTTTGTTTTACTGATCTTATATATGATCGTTATATATCTGTCTGTTTGTCTTACTGATCTTATATATGATCGCTATATATCTGTCTGTCTTACTGATCTTATATATGATCATTATATATCTGTCTGTTTGTATTAGTGATCTTTTATATATGATCGTTATATATCTGTCTGTTTCTCTTACTGATCTTAGCTGATCGTAACTCTTTTATTAGTCTCTTTTCTTTCAGAAGTGTGTGATTTATGTCACCTTTAGGTCTCGTTAAGCTTTATTTAAAGCTGTCCTGAAGACGCCTTACAGCTGTTTTTTGCTTTTAAAATGAAAAAAAAGAAAAGGGTAAAGAATAACAAACCCCACACCAATCTCAAACCGCTGCTATGTTCTTTAAAACTTCTACCTCCCCACCCCAATATTCTCTGTTTAAGTGCCTTACAATACAGCAAAACCTCTTTAGTTCTTTTGCAGACATCAACCCCGCGAACGGTTAAGTAACACACTAGCAAAAGTTGTCTGTCCTTGACAGATTTGTAAACAACTTGCAAATTAGTACTGTAACCTCAATCGCCGTCGCTACCAACTTTCTTCTTTTTTTCGTCTTTCTGTAATCCCCCCAAAATCAGCACCAAAGCCTAAAGCCTCCTACCCTAAACATTTTTTTTTTCAATTTCTTTGATTTTTTTTTTTTTGCCAATTTAAGGAGAAGAAAACTAACAACAGGGTTGTGAAAAAAAAAGTTTTTTTTTTTTTTTTCAACAATAAACAACTTTTGATTTAGGAATTCTCTGCATTTCTTCGTAGGAAAAGTTAAATAGAAATTATTTCTAACAATTGCATTTCTGGGCGCATATATGTCGGATTATACTTGGTAAGAAAAAAAAAGAGAGAGATTTATCACATTTTTTCAATTTTAGAATTTTAAATGAACACATTTTTCCTTTACGTTTGCAACAATTTAAAAAGTAGATTTATTACTAACTTGATGCAAATATTCACAGCACTACTCTTGACCAATGTTAACGAAGTCTTAGAAATGTTTTCGAACATTTACCACTCATTTATTCCTTTGACAATCAGTCGTACTTGATCGTTTAATAAAAACCTTTTAACTAAAACAACAAATTCAGGTAACTGCTGCCCTCACACAAAATAGGGACAACAAATTTGGTTGAATAATTTTTGGTAACTTAGCATTCATTACACGTTCTTCGTGCCACGACATTGGTCGGAATTAGAAAATACAAGATTACCCGTGATCTCTTGAGTCACTGATGGTCCTGGTTCTAACACATTGAAGTTGATTTCAACATTCCATTCAAATGAAAGTTAATTTTATTATGATTCTATTAAATATTTCAATTCGTTCGTGTCATCATTGGTCTGGTTTACAAGTTAATTTTTAACGTTTTACTGATTGTCTACAAAGAGATCCCGCTTTGGCGTTTCCTTACTTTTTGTAGAGTAATTATTTATATTTCAGCTTTTTTTAACAAACAATGTTTTTACTATTTACAGTATTCGGACTATCATCCTCATCTTGCCATATTTATCACAACATTTCGGCCGTTGTACGCTCCGGCCTTCTTCAGGTCGTTGGAATGTCGAACTGAACCATTTATTTTGCTCGCTGGAGAAACATTGAAGTTTATTTCAACATTCAATTGAAATGAAAGTTAATTTTATTATGAGTTAGTTAAATATTTCAATTCGTTCGTGTTATCATTGGTCTGGTTTACAAGTTAATTTTTAACGTTTTACTGATTGTCTACAGCATTTAATAGAAATAGAACTTCCGGTATAAACTTGTAATTTAAATCATATTAACTTAAAAATACTTTTTTTAATATGCCAAAAATATTTTAAAATCCTATTCACTTGAAAATATTTTTTAATATGCCAAAAAATATTTTTAAATAATTAAAACATTGTTTGTCTATATTTCTGAGATAAGGTATTATGTACACTATTTACATTGCCCGGTCTATCATCCTCATCTTTGTTGCCATATTTATCACAACGTTTCGTTCCGGCCTTCCGTGGTTGGAATGACGAACTGAGCCCTTTATTTTGCTCGGTGGGGTAGACTGTTGTAGTTCCGCGTGCCATGTCCAATGGATGTCAGTTATCAGCTATCTCCTGTTAATTCCCCTCTCCAAGGTCTCCACCGCCTTAACTAGGTATTGGACACATGGTGCAGTGGATAAAGACGTTAGTTAGATCCAGTGACAGGACCCAAAGAATTTCTATTAAATGCTGTAGACAATCAGTAAAACGTTAAAAATTAACTTGTAAACCAGACCAATGATAACACGAACGAATTGAAATATTTAACTAACTCATAATAAAATGAACTTTCATTTCAATTGAATGTTGAAATAAACTTCAATGTTTCTCCAGCGAGCAAAATAAATGGTTCAGTTCGACATTCTAACGACCTGAAAAAGGCCGGAGCGTACAACGGCCGAAATGTGATAAATATGGCAAGATGAGGATGATAGTCCGAATAATGTAAATAGTAAAAACATCGTTTGTTAAAAAATGCTGAAATATAAATAATTACTCTACAAAAAGTAAGGAAACGCCAAAGCGGGATCTCTTTGTATCTCTTTAAATTAGAAATTTTTTAATTAAAAAAAATGTATGTTTGAAGAAAGTTAAAATAAAAATACTTACTGTATAAACAACTCGTAAATCATTATGCACCGGACAGATGCACCAGACAAGCACGCACGCAATCCCAGACTTTTAGTATTACAGGGATCAGTGGTTCCCAACCAATTTTGGGCCATGTCCCACTTTGGTATTTCTAAAATTCTGGTGCTCCCTTATAATATTTAATTCTTACACATTCAAAATTTTACTGCAGTTCATGCGAAGGAAGCTTAAAAGGCCATTAACTTGGTCTCTAAACAAGCCTTCAAAAACAATGGCGTCCATGAAAGAGAAAAATTAAAAAACAAAAAAGACATTTAAATATATATATAGTTTCAAAACATATAACAGAACTGAAAAGCAGAAATATAAAATATTTGAATGAAAGTTTATTCTTTAATATACTTTGATCATTTTAATCATGAAATAATAATGCAAAATGAAATTTGTGCTCACATTGGCATAGTAAGCCGAAGGGTGTACCGCACTAAAATATTACCATGCCCCACCAGTGGGGCATGCGGCCCACGTTGGGAATCGTTGATATAGATAGATTTCAAAGATATCTTAGAAGTGTCTTTGAAGACTTACCAGCTCCTTAGTACTTCAGCAATCGAGCACTTCAGCGTGGTGTAACGGGTAGTAAGCTTGATTCGCTGAGTAGTGTAGGGTGATCTATAAATTCGGCCTTACGCTTAGTAAATCAATATTCCTTGGATTTTCACCTTTTAAGAAAAAAAAAACATTGATAAAAAAAAACTACTTAAAATAACATGTTTGGTTTGTTTTGTTTTGTTTTACGGCATATCAATACCTTTAATACTGACAACTTTTTTTTTCTGGTAATACTTTTATTTTGTCAAAAATCTATTTCTTAATATTTTTTCCTCAAAATTGCATAGCTGGTAATATTATTTTCATAAACGTATTGTTGGTAATATTTTTTTTTTTCAAAAACGTATTGTTGAGAATATTTTTTTTTTTCTTCAAAGATTCATTTCTGGTAATAATTTTTTACAAAGTATTTCTGGTATAAAGACCTATTTTTACACTATCATAATGTTTTTTTACCTCAGTTTCGGGTTAACTATTTGCCCATAGGTGGGACCCTAACAGGTGCTACCACCCCGAGTCAGGGTGGATCTGGGAACAACAGCAATTAAGAGGTGGTTCCACGCTTCTCAAAGCCACCTGATCGGAGGTCTTGCTGTTGGACGTAGTTTATCGTCTTACCCTGAAATGTCGATGTAGTTTATCGTCATACCCAGGACGGAAAATAACATGTCTACTCTTAAAAAGTAATCTATTTTATTGATTGATTTGATCTTTACGCTTTATCAACCTTTTGTAAGTTATTTAAAGCCAGAAAATATTTATAGAATGTAAGATTTTTTTCTGTGGTGGGGTGGTGTAGTAATTTGTAATGGCACATGTCTTACTAATTAACCCATAACAGGTGGTGAAGTGCTGAATTCATACCTCTCGTAAGTGTATCTGCACGTAAATGAATATAACGAACCCAACTGGAATTAGAACTTTCTGATTAACAATTCCGAGCTGTTATCCATCACACCACCCGCAAATTCAAGCTTACAACACCTGGTATTCCCATATTAGGATTTTTGTTTGTTTTTTCAGTATATTTTTCTTCATACTGTCGGATCTATATCCATATATTTGCTTATATATATATATATATATATATATATATATATATATATATATATATATAATTTACCGAAAATAGACAACTTTAAGGATCCCTTAAAGTTGTCTGTTTTCATTAAATTAAATTATTCGCTCTGATTTAACATTGAGCTCTCCGAATTTCATCCCCCCTTGTGATTATCCATACGGATTACCAAGATTTTCATTACTCATATATATATATATATATATATATATATATATATATATATATATATCGAATAAAAGACAGACCACGTTAAGATTCCATGTAATAAGCTATTTCACCATAACCCCTTTAACAGGGTTCTGGATCATCAGACTTTACCAGAACCCTGTTAAAGGGGTTATGGTGAAATAGTTTATTACATGGAATCTTAACGTGGTCTGTCTTTTATTCAAACATATCTGCTCTGAATTTTACATTGAGCTCTCTGGATATCATCCTCCTCAGGTCTACCCATACGGATTACCTAAATTTGCATAAACTATATATATATATATATATATATATATAAACATAAAACATTAGGCAGCATATGATTTACATACAAAAAATAATCACACATAGAATTAATCAGAAGTATTAATGCGATTATTGGTGACATCCATCGCTAGAAAACATAATATATGCATTAAAATCCTGTTCATCCATAGTGCGAGTTTTGATCCTTGAAGAAAAACTTGTTGTCTGTAGTTTTTCAGTTTATTTGATGTTAAAATGCTAGTACTTACGGACAGTCTTCCATCCATCATCAGGCATGTGTTTTTTTCCCTATAAAATCAAAAACTTGAGACGATATACCTGTATGTCGACCGAAAGATGTTTTTTGAATATCTGCTATTATTGACGGTTGTAAGATATCGGAACGTGCAAAGACGCAACGCTAAGTTTTTCAAAAAAACATATGCCTGATGATGGATGGAAGACTGTCCGTAAGTACTAGCATTTTAACATCAAATAAACTGAAAAACTACAGACAACAAGTTTTTCTTCAAGGATCAAAACTCGCACTATGGATGAACAGGATTTTAATGCATATATTATGTTTTCTAACGATGGATGTCGTCAATAATCGCATTGATACTTCTGATTAATTCTATGTGTGATTATTCTTTGTATATATATATATATATATATATATATATATATATATATATATATATATTGTGTGTGTGTGTATTTATGCAGCAATGTTTCATTGATGCGTGTTTCATTAAATAATACAGACAAGTTTTGTCTATTTATTTTTTATTGCAATTTTTTTTTTCATATCGTCTGATAAGTTTAATAATATTATCATTAAAAGACGAAAGAAAATAACAATATTGATACATATTTTTTAATACTATCTAAGCTTTCGGCTTACATAAGCCATCATCAAATATGACAATTACATTACAATACATTAACCAATACACGGACAAAACAATAATGATAGTCTTCTTTTGTTTGCCTGTAAGATTTCCAAGCAACTACAAACTCGTGCATTCGAGACGCTGGAAGCGAAAATCGCACCGCAGCTCATGACATCATAAATGACCAAATAAATAGACCTAACTTTTCTATATTATTTAATGAAACATGCACCAATATATATATATATATATATATATATATATATATATATATATATATATATATATATGGGGGGTGTATCCTGAGAAAAGAGAACTATAAAAAAGGTTAGAATTAAAAAACCTTTACTTATATTCTAATCCAGGGTTATGTAACTTAGAGTGCCCGTATCTCGAATCGGTGGAGGATAGAATTTCGCTGGGCCCTTAAGTGGCTTGAATGATTCATCATTCAGCCTTTCTGACAGTATTGATGACGTTGGATGCATAACACCTAGTGTGCGTGAAAAAATTACGTCTTATTTCAAAACGCTGTCAGTTTGATGGATATTTCGCTGCTGGAGGCCAGAAAATTTCAGAGGAACGGATCCTTAATCCATATTCCTACAATTTGAAGAATATGACAAATGACGAAGAGAAGCAGGAAGATATTATTGGTCTGATGACAAATTTAGCTCTTGAAATGTAGTTTGAAAGCAAGACATTGGAGGGGTTGTAGCGCACGGCATATATACCAAAGGCTGGGAGGAAAAACGCTCCGTGTCCCCGTTCCAAACTTGCGGGAACCTGGATTCAGTTTGACTTTTGTTAATCAAAACAAAACTTAAGAATCGCTTCAAACCATACGCGTATCTTCGATTCGCTGTCAGCAAGACGGCTCCACATTTTGGCAAAAATCATTAACGAGAAGCAGGATTGGATTTTATATTCACATTTGTGATTCATTTTACAGTCTGCGTTAGGGTTTTACTTAAAATCTATTTCAGGGATCTCAGACCCACGGATACGAAAGTGCCATTGCATGCTGTGGAGAGGTGTAAGGAGCCGTGAAGCGAGTGGCCGGATTCCCAACTAAAGATCTATGGACACACAATGCTGAATGAAATCAGTCTAGGAATTTTAAGCGTTAAGAAATGAAAGAAACAAAGAGGGGTTAAAATAACACGATAAAGAAAGAAAGAAAGAAAGAAAGAAAGAAAGAAAGAAAGAAAGAATACGGGAAAGTATGAAAGATAGAGAGCGGGAAGAAAGAAAGAAAGAAAGAAAGAAAGAAAGAAAGAAAAAGAAAGAGAGCGGGAAGATGGAAATAAAACGAGAAAGAAAGAAAGAAAGAAAGAAAGAAAGAAAGAAAGAAAGAAAGAGAGGGAAGATGGAAATAAAAACGAGAAAGAAAGAAAGAAAGAAAGAAAGAAAGAAAGAAAGAAAGAAAGAAAGAAAGAAAGAGAGCGGGAAGATGGAAATAAAACGAGAAAGAAAGAAAGAAAGAAAGAAAGAAAGAAAGAAAGAAAGAAAGAAAGAAAGAAAGAGAGCGGGAAGATGGAAATAAAACGAGAAAGAAAGAAAGAAAGAAAGAAAGAAAGAAAGAAAGAAAGAAAGAAAGAGAGCGGGAATATGGAAATAAAACAAGAAAGAAAGAAAGAAAGAAAAAAGAAAGAAAGAAAGAAAGAGAGAAGATGGAAATAAAACGAGAAAGAAAGAAAGAAAGAAAGAAAGAAAGAAAGAAAGAAAGAAAGAAAGAAAGAAAGAGAGCGGGAAGATGGAAATAAAACGAAAAGAAAGAAAGAAAGAAAAAAGAAAGAAAGAAAGAAAGAAAGAAAGAAAGAAAGAGAGCGGGAAGATGGAAATAAAACGAGAAAGAAAGAAAGAAAGAAAGAAAGAAAGAAAGAAAGAAAGAAAGAAAGAAAGAAAGAAAGAAAGAGAGAGGGAAGATGGAAATAAAACGAGAAAGAAAGAAAAAAGAAAGAAAGAAAGAAAGAAAGAAAGAGAGGGAAGATGGAAATAAAACGAGAAAGAAAGAAAGAAAGAAAGAAAGAAAGAAAGAAAGAAAGAAAGAAAGAGAGCGGGAAGATGGAAATAAAACGAGAAAGAAAGAAAGAAGAGAGGAATAACACGGTAAAGAAAGAAAGAAAGAACGAGAGAAGAAAAGAAAGAAAGAAATCTACCATTCGATCATGCATTGAATATTGTTGCTATATCTACCCCCGCTGTATATCTCGAGATTTTTGACAACATTCAAACAAAGGTCTGTCAATCAGTTTGGTAATTTTAAGCGTTAAGAAAAAATGAATGAATGAAAGAAAGAAAGAAAGAAAGAAAGAAAGAAAGAAAGAAAGAAAGAATACAGGAAAGTATGAAAGACAGAGAGCGGGAAGAAAGAAAGAAAAAAAATGTACCAATCTATAAATCTACCGTTGGCCCATTCATTGAAAACTGCCGCCATGTCGAGTTTTGTGCTCCGTCTATATATCTCTAGATGCTTGATAAAGAAGGATCTGTAATATAATCGATCCTAATCTGGCATTTCGACTTCAATCACTTTCCCATCGATGTGACGTGGCTTCCCTCGGTCTTTTCAACAAAATATATTCAGGGCCATTGTTCTGATGAACTCTTCTGCTTTGTACCTCGGCTGCATGAATTTAAGCATGTTTCTAGATTGACAACACGGTCTGACCGTTTTAGAGAGGAAGTAGCTAGATGCAACCGTCAGTTTTCTTCTAATAGTTTCTTCTCTCGCACTTCTTACCTGTGGTACCCTTTTTTCCAATTCCTTGCTTCCCTGTCACTTACAATCAACAAAGATTTAAATGCAACGTCACTCGCCATCTTCTCTCTTTTTGAATCATTTATTGTTCTTTTCATCACCTCTCCTCATTAAATTCTTCTCCCTTTGACCCCCTCCCTCTTGCTTAGAGTGAAAGGATTTAACAAAGAATTAATTTTTGCACGTATTCCATCAATTTATGTTTACTAAGTACAGCTTTCTTCTTTTTATTTAAAAATAAAAGCAAAATTTACGAGTAATTTTTTTAAAAGAATCGTAAATTCTCGAAATGCGTAACACGTGCCTACCCTATTTATTGCCATATTCACAATGTTTCGGCCGTTGTACGCTTCGGTCTTCTTCAGGTGTTTGTAATTTCGAACCGAACCCTTTATTTCCTTCACAGGGGTAGATTTTTCTATTTATACGTGTCATGCTTCTTCCAAATGCCTCAGTTATTTCCCTTTAAGTTTTGGTTCACTACTGCTGTGCCATGGTATTGAACTCACAACTCTGGTTCTAGTCTCTGGATCTAACCAACGCCTTTATCCACTAGGCCGTGTGTCCCAGAGGAGATCTGTGGATAAATTTTTTGGAAAATTTAAATGCAGTATCTTCATCTTGTGTCCTCAAGGACACATGG